CCCTATTAACGGGCCGGCAACTGTGCGTCGGAGAACTTCTGGATGATCTCATTGGTTGGCGCAAATGAACCGTGTCAAAGTGCACCACGCTACTTGATTCGTTTCGTTTCGTTCGATGGACGAATGCTTCGAGCCCCGACGAGGGCATTTTTCCCGTTTTCATTGTTCCCATTATATATCCCGTTAATCGCGATAGATGGCGAAAAAGAAAGAAAGAAAGAAAGGAAAAAAAAGATCTGCTCGTGGAATTCGGGAGTAGATTCATCACTCTCCAAGATTTATGAGATGTTTCGCAAGCGTTGCAACCGTCCCCGATTTAGCCTTTGCCTTTGAGATGGAGAACACCGAGCGCGTCATCCGTGTTCCAAGAATCGGAATAATTCGAAAAATTGACATCAGAGGAAAGAAGTTAGGGTATTTCGGAGGGGTGACGTCGACGACGACGACCAGAAACGATCAAAATTGACCATTTCTATCATTTCTTTTAACGCGCTGATGTTTCGATAATTCCGTCTCGGAATCGATCGGAAATTAGAAAGGATTCGTTATGAGAGAAAGAGACTACGTATGATCGATGTACGTAAAGTTGTCGCGAGGGAAAAGAGAGACGTCGAATCATAAATTATCTGTGAATCGTAGCCTCGCGAAACTGTGACTAACGCGGACAATCGATCGATCGCCGCGAAGAGCTGTAAACCGTCCTTTCCGATTCACCTTTTGCGAATTAAAATTCCGCGTACCGAACACTCGTGGCACGCAGAATGAAAGAAAAAAATATGTCCCGACTGGTAGGAAGCGGGTGATGGAAAAAAGCTGTTTGACAAGTACATCCGGCGAGAGGCCACGTACTCCAAGAATCGAGTTTCACGTGACGAAACCGATGCGTTCCTATTATATTACGCGTACTACACGCATATATATCCATCGCATCTTTATTAATTATACGGATCCTGTCGAACGTATCGATTCGTTGATAAATTAACATATATACAGATTCGAATATTCGAAAGCGAGTAACACACTTGTCGATTACGTGTCACATATATTTCACGTTTTCCATTCCCGTTAGATCGAGTCTAATTTTTTCACGTTCGTGATCACACAAAGATAAATACGAACGGCGCAAAATTATTAACGCTGTTACGATCGACAAAGTCGTTCCACCATCGAGAAACGGAAGGAAGCTATTCGAACTTCGGCTTCGCGACGCATTTCACTTTCGCGCGTTTTGGAACCGAGCCAACCTCCACGGTTCGAAAGTACTTTGCTCTTATTTAACGACTTTTTTTTCGCCTCGAAATTCTTCGTTCGAACTCGTTTCTCTGTCGATCGTTATCGCGCAATTAACGCGCGAGAAAGAAACAATCGCCAAGAGAACTCTGGTAGAGCGATTGCTCCTCGTGCGAGGGAAAAAGAAATGTGTCACGATCACGAACGAATGTTTAAACGTTTCGACTATAGATATATATATATATNATATATATATATACATAGAGGCGGCCGGTTTATTACGGGTAGCAAGAACGTCAAATAAATCACTCGTCTCGGCCACGATAAGACAATTGCGATTGTACCACGGCCAACCTAGCGATTCTAGTCGCGATAAAGAGTTAAGAAAAAAGAAGAACGCGGTTGTAAAATATAGGTTTTCCACGATCAATCAATCCGGTTATTGGTGATTCGCACGGTGATTCAACAGGTGCGAGAGTATGATTCGACGATTAAAGTGCCCACCGGTGTCCCGGCCGATCGTCATTCATATCGATTAGCCTGGTGGGCGCGAATCCATTCGCAGAACTTACGACAATGCATTATCAATGACGATCATGGTCGGCATATGGCCTCCCATGTTCAATGGTAGCGAGTCGCCGTGGTAGACAGCCTGGCAGCCAGGCGATCCCTTTCTCGGAACGATCAACCTGCCATTCGTATGGGAATCACACGTATCCATCCCTTCCCCTTTGCATCCACTCGCTTTCCTACCTTTCTGCATTTTTCTCCTCCCTCCCTCCCTTTCTCTCTCTCTCTCTCTCTCTCTTTTCGTTATTGTAATTCTCTTTATATATCTTTCCGTGGGTAATACCTCGCATCCTTAAAAATATCGATAAAAAAAGAGACGTAAGAGCGAGTAACGTCATTTCCCTCTCGCCTTTCTCCCTCTCCCCTCCCCTTCTCCCCTCTTTGGCTTCGAAAAACTCGACTAACCTTCGTTCGAGCTGCCGCTTTCAATTTTGATCATCCACTTGACGTCATCTTCGAATATAAATCGAGGGAGAGAGAATTTTGCATTAAGAATAATTCAATAGCGTAGGAAACGAATGAAAAATTAGGACGGACGATTTAGAACGGAAGCGGATGTTTTCTTTTTGGTTTTTTTTTTTTTTTCGGAAGATTTTACGCGAGCCAAATTTCCATGATGCAAATAACGGGGTTTCGAAGAGGAACGGGGTTTTAAAGGAGGACCACCGGGACTAGGATTATTTGGGTGGTCCGGCGGTCCGAACGATGCCTGGCTCCGATATTTAATAACAGGAGATGCAGCCAGAATACGGTTGTTAACGTTCAAAGAGAAAGGGGTTAAAATATATTCATTCCGGTGCAAATTGTTCGCAACATTTGCGAAACGAATTCCAAAATGGACGCTTGCGCGCGTTTCCGGTTCGGAAAATGGGCGGCCGATACCGCGTTCCATTTCAACCATGAAACGCGAACAAATCGAAAACGCGTACGATGTAATCGTTAGCGTTGTTTTCCTAAAAGTCACGTCGAGACACCGTGATCTTTTTATAAGGGAGATACACGCGCCTAATATTTTATAGCGGCGCGAAGACAATGCGCGATAATGCAGTTAACGACCGTGCTCGTTCCTACACCCGGCCGGTATGCATATAAACCAGCTTGATCTCCGTTCACGATCTCGCCAGGGTTTCGATCGATGCGAAAGAATTTTCCATTAAATCGGCCGCTCGTTCCGGCTCGCGTGTAAATCAATCGCCGCAATTTCAGGAATCGAGTATTTCGATAAATCGTCGTCGGAGAAGTCTCTCGCAAATTGGCAGGGAAATCGATGGGAGCGAGCGTGTCTAGTTTCGAATTGGTAAAACGGAAGATGGTTATCGGTTGGAAGAAGAATTCCTCGGCGAATGAATGGGCGAAACCCCTTATCGATACGGAATAAACAGCGCGTCGACGACCGTCCAAGAATTTTTATCGGGAATTTTCACGAGCTCCGAACGACCCTTGACTCGACTCTTGCCGTTGTAAAGCACGGCGGCCGCTCGATTCTTCGAAATTGATTCTCCTTTTACCGTCGTTTTATCGCCACCGTTTACCATTCAATTTAATTATTCTCCAACAGAGACTGGTATCTAATCACGGCCGGGCTCGATAATACCCCGTATTTACTCATCCGTGTACATAACAAAGTTCGACGAGCGGAGAAATAAGTGGGAGAAGAGGATGCGATCTCGAAGAGTAAACGTAGAGAACTCGCGTAGCGAAGGTTTGCAAAGAGAGAGAGAGAGAGAGAGAAAGAGAGAGAGGCGTTTTTTAAATTCAGCCCATATCTCACCTCTTCCCGAGTCTGATTCCCTAAGTATCATTTATGAGATACCAAGTACCAATTTATTCACGACCTAATTCGCTTTCTGCTTTTTCCGCGGGATCAAAGAGCGTGGACGATACGATATCTTTACGTTTCATCTCGTTCGTACGGCAGGAAGGGGGATTCGAAATGCTTTCGGATCAAAGAGTGGTAAGGTTGTTTTTTTTTTTTTTCAGTGATTAAATTCCTTTCGAGAGGGAACGCGTAACGATGTTAAACGTACGATCGTATATAAATATCGCGATGCGAATGGACAGAAGCTGCATCTATAATTGCGATAACAACGTCGTTATTCACCGACCTTTCGAAACAATCTCCTCGAGGAGATCCATCTTTTTCCGTCCAATGTTCCACGAGGTGAATTACCGCGTGTATCGACGCGGTGCGAGAGAACGCGACGATAATCGACGTTGCACAACCGACGGATACATCGGTTTTCGAGTAATTGGACGCATTGTGTGCACGTTCGAGCAGCGAACGAGTCAATTCCACCCGTCTTTTCACCGTTTCTCTCATATAAATTATTTCGAGTTTTATCCCGCCGGCTCTTGCCGACACGCTCGTTATCAGATCCGAGTCACTCGGCAAGGGATAAGCGAAAACATACGATCGTTTCTTTGCTTTCGAATCGTTTCCGTTCGATTACTCCGCGCCAGATATTTATTTCGAGCGCACACTCGCCACGCGCGCGGTGGTGTCTGCATTCGCGTTATAAAACGAAATGAAATTTTCGTGAGTCGAGGTCGTTTTTTGCGGCTGTGCGCGCACACGTGATCGGCGCAAGCGCAATCGAATGGGATATCTCGAGTGTGGCATAAAATGTACGTGGCACGCGAAAAAGAAACGGGCAGACTGACACGAGTTTCGAGTGTCGGTCGATCGGTTGACGAGAGGCTCGCAGCTGGCAACCATGCAAAGCGTCGACGGGACCGAACCACGGCATCCACGGTGAAATTCTCCCTGGATTCGTGTGACGCGTACATGCATACGCGGTCACAGGGATTGTTTCTATTAAGCGGCTCGAGATCAAAGGATCCAGATGTTGCGCACTGCTATTAAGTAGGTCTCTGTTCTCCTTCCGGACGGCTCGTTCCTCGAGAATACCGCGTCGCGATGAGATGCAAATTCGTTTATTAACCTTATCTTAGCCAGGAAATCTCCACAGCCACAGCCACAGCGTTGGCCAAGGGAGTGTTGGCCCACCCACGATCCAAAGAAAAAAGCATCGCGATTAATATTTTTTGGATTCTTTCGCTCCTACCCCCTCCTTCCCTTCTCCCTCCCTTCCAGTTTATCGCGCGAGCAAATCTTATTTAGCAGTTAGTCAGTGTTTCAAACCGTAACTTCTCTCGGAGAAAAAAAATTCATCGAGATTTGTTTTTTCTCGTTCATTCAGGACTACGCCGAGGATGAGGACGAGAACGAAGACGAAACCTCAGCCTCGACCACCCTGTCGAGAATGATGAGCAGCAGCACGACGACCACCACAACGACCACTACCACCACAACCACCACGGCCAGACCTATGGTTACGCAGAATTACGATTATCGGGATCCGAGAGCATACGAGGGAGGTGGTGGTGGTGGGACAGGAGCGCAGTACAACGGGTACCAATCGAGAAACGACTATCCCCCGATGTCGGCGCACAGCGTTCACAAGTGGCAGACTCTGGGCACTCGAGAAAGCGTCAAAGAAACCAGGAGCAACATGCAGCAATATAATAAGAACGGGAAGAGTAAGTTGGTTTCGATTTATGCCCCGCACTTGTATCTTTGGCTTCGCCTCGATCGGAGAAAAAAATAATACGTGCACACGTACGTGAAATACATACACACAGAGAAGAATCCTACGCGCAGAGAAAAATCTTGTCCCGGCAATATCATAATCGAAATTCCACGCTGTCGATTTATGCAAATACGATGTATTCCAACCTCTCTCTCTCTCTCTCTCTCTCTCTCTCTCTCTCTCTCTCTCTCTCTCTCTCTCTCCTAAAGGTATCGTTATTGATCGTTATTAAATCGACGATGGTGGTCTCGTCAACGCGATACATACCATCCTTCTCCCAGCTTCCTCCAATAATTATTCCACCGATATAAATATCGAGAAGGGGAAAAAAAGCAAACGGGTCAAAAGATCTAATCGACGTACGCGAAATTACTCATTTTTTCTTCCTTTTTTTTTTTTCTTTTGCATTTTCAGATCCCTCTTTATCTCCTCGAATACAAACAGTGTATGGTAGAATATGGTACGCGCTAGTGTATGCACAACCGTTACCGATTGCGCAACCGCGTTCACGTTTCCAATGATTCTTCCTCTTCGATCAGCGCGCCAATGCTCACTTGCTCACTTACATGGACGACCTATTAATATGCAAATTAATTACGAGCATTGCGGCAATCCCAGTTTGCCCTCCGACTCCAACTTTCTCGCACGATACAATACACCCGACGCGTCCCCGTATTCTCCCCGCGCCAATTCGTATCGAGCCGCTCGAATCGATTTGGCGCGCTTTCGACACGCTGTCTACCGCCGATATACATACATGCTCGCGCATCTCTCCTCCTCCTCCTTCTCCTCCTCTTGGATGGGATTCCTTTTTGGAAATTTTAATTTTAATTTTAAGGAAGGAAAGGAAAGGAAAGGAACGGACGAAGGGAGGAAATCGGATCTCCTCCTAATAGATCGACCTTCTCCTTTCTTCGCATTCCGGATTTGAATAAACTGGGATGTTCGACGCGCGAGCGTGCTTTAAACTCCGGTGACGGCCGTGCCTCTATTGTAAACGGGCCGATATAATCTCTCGCAGCAGCGGCACGGCTGTAACGCCTACGTTGGAAAATTAGCATACAGCCAGATCCTTGGCAACGATTAAAACCAGGAGAAATAATTCCACGGACACGAACTTCCTCCTCCCTCGCGTTTCCCCTTCTTATTCGGCCTCGATCGACGAAATCGGGCCCCGCCATTTCACGGGTGGGAAATTATCCTTTTCGTCAAACCCGGACGAAACGGAGGACGTTTTACCTGGAAGAACAGCCAGAGCCACTGCCTCTGCTATTTACCTTACTTTCGTCGATCGTTGGGATCGTTGGAAACCGAGGGAGGACCGGAGGAATGAGATAACTTCCTCGAATAAAATAACGAGGGGCGGACGTTCTCTCGTTAAACTCTCTCCTCGAGAATCGTTTCCTCGAAACGCGGTTTCAAGTGTTCGCACAACCCTCCGTTTTATTCGCGATTCAAAGACACGATTCTCGTTACAACTCGTCCACAATTGACGGACGATAGTCGCTTAATCGTCTCGCTCGAATCTTATGCCCGAACTTGGCTTGGATGACGTTTTAACGTAAACGTGGCAACGTGGCAAACCTCTAGTCCGTAATTATCCCGACGATATTTGCTTCGTAAAATAAAATGAGTCTCCTGCTCGCCGTTCCTGGCGACAGTCGATGTTTTATCGACCGGGATTCGTCAACGATCCTCCACGAGATTCTTTCACGGCATTTTCGATACAGTCATCCGTCCGTAGCGTGATTAATCGATTCCCAGATACAATGTAATTTCTCTCATACGAATAGCCGAGCCCATACAAATTGCAACGAGAGATAGCCGGGGCATAATTATCGACGCTGCGTTAAACGCGTAGAAAGCGATTAGAGGTATCCTCGCGTTGAATCAATAGAAAGCTCGCGTGATTCGTGTCACCGTGGCTTACAGATTCGTTTCGAAATGCCGAGGCGAGTTGTCGCATCTTCTTTCCTTCCCTTTCCTTTCTTCTCGCTAGAATTTCTTTACCGACCATGCTTTCTTTCGGAGAAAAAAAGAAAAAAAAGAAAAAAAAATTAATTCTTCCGAACGGAATTTCTTATGTTCCAGCGGCGGAAATCCGAGAGGCTCTTCAACACGCGATCAAGGTATCGCGGGAGGGGAGCTGCCAGTGGCCACGGCCAAGGGTGATTCCGGTTCGCGACGTGTACCCGAGCCCGTCGACCACCTACGTCCCGCACTGCGCCATCTTGCACAGGTGCTCGGATGACACCGGGTGCTGCAGATCGGAAGCCCTCACCTGCGTGCCCAAGCATTCGCATCGAGTCGAGCTTTCCTTCTACGTGAGTACTTATACCACCGTTTTGTTCATCGATCGAATTCGCGTTACGATGTAGCGTGTTACGAGCGTGGATAAAATGGAAACGAGGAAGAGTTTATCGCGAAAGGAGAAAGTACGATTAATCGCGTTGAACGTATTAGAGGGGGGGATTTATTAGCTCGCGTGTATTTCGGGTAAAGGTAATTTATGGAACGCTCGATTTATCGTAAACGCGTATCTCGAAATGATTCGCGAAACATTGTCGGCGACGGGCGACGGGCGAGTTTTCTGTCTCGAGCGCGCCGTGCCGGTTAATGAATACCGACGTTATCGGCTGAACCGCGAATTCGATGACTGCGCGAGACTGCGCGGTTTATCTCGCGCCAACTAGGGGAAAAAATCGATCGCGTAAATTTCTCGGCTTTCATGCCTGCCCATTAGTGTCACGGAGAACGAGTAGTCGAGCGCGCGGTCGAAGCGATCGTTGGAATGCCGTTGCAATTCCGATTTTTCCTATTTATCCCCGGAGCTGTTCGATACCGCGTGTTAGAATTTATCGTGCATATAACCGTAACAACTATCGATGATCGATCCCACGGTGTTATTTGTATTCCTATCGCCCGCTTCTGACTCGATTCATAAAGCTATACTGTATTACCTATTCGAAATGCTCCACGATTGTTGATCGAACGACACGCGCCTCTTTTCGACGATGGTGGTCTATCGCGTTGCTATGGATACCCATGTATTATACCCGTGTTTACGAGCATCGAGCTCCTCCTCTTCCTAAAAGGAATCGCCAAACTTACTGTATCGATATTTTGCGCGCGAAACATTTTAAATCGTTCGGAATTAGTTGGGTCATTCGTTGATATATATATATATATATATATATTGGATCGATGATAAATTTCCAGGGAAGAGGAAGAAGAGCAGACTCGAAGCGAGTAATTAAACTTGGCTAGTTGGTCTTAACGAATCGATTAACTTCGATGGATCTATCGCATTGCCCCTGCGATCTATATACGTCGTCGATTGGATATAGAACTATAATTTCTTAAACGATTCATCGAATCATCTCTTCGTCCGCTTACTTTTCGCGTCGTCATTCGATACTTGGAGATCGTTACTATTATATGGGAGAAATTTAATAGTTGAATAAAGTTCACTTCGATTTATTTATCGGTCAATAATAATTGCAAATAATTAAGTAACGTCTGAAAAAAAGGGCTGAGAAGCGGATAACAGTAACAGCTACTGAAAGCAAATTTGTTCGAAATTTTTAACCAGTTACTTTTTACAACGAGTTGATTGGCAGATCTCCGTTGATGGAGAGAGTCGAGTTTTCGAGAAGAAAAATCAGCGTGATATAAATCGTCGATGCGACACAGACGCGCAATATAATCGCGGAGGATGCAATTTACATTTCGCGGTAATTATTATCCAAGTTGTGATTTCTCTTTCTCTTTCTCTCTCTCTCTCTTGAGAAAGAGAATTGCGCATTGTCAGTTATTGAAATCATCGAATCCGCGTTTCCCCTTTAAACGCAATCCATCCAATCAATCCGTCGATCGCGTCGTAAACGCGGGAATAATTCATAAATAACTTTATATATATATATAATGTTTCGCGCCATGAATCGTAACTCCGGTGAAATTTACTTGATTTGACAATCGTTCACTTTCCCCTTATAAAACAGAGAAAGAGAATCGAACGAGAATCTTATTGTCGTTGATTCGACGTTGGCGAGCGATAGCTAAAAACGTTTCGTATAAAACGTGGAAACCGTTAATTGCAAACCGTCCGGTGGCCGCGCACTTTCTAAAGCGTGTAGCTATATCTCTCAGGCAAGGATCGGTCGGTATATAATATCGTCGTTGGTCGCGGTGAACACCCACGCGGACCTACGCGGGCCAATCAGCGGCCGAGAACCGATCGTGATCGATGAACCGATTGTCCGATTGCCCATCGAGGATCGCTCTCTCGAGCGGAGGAGGGGGGAGCAGATAAATTTAATGAGATACACTTTTTTTCTGTTTGCGACTCGACCACAAGCGTTACGTAGCTATATGGAATGCGAGCAATCTTGACCTCGGTCGTAACGCAATATACATATATATATACATACATATGTAAGCGCGCGATGCTATTGAACCGTTATACGTGAATTATAGCGCAACTTGTGCCGCGATTATACGAGGCGGGCAAAAACAAACCGATGATGTAACCCCCGGATCGATCGATGGTGGTGAAAAAGCGTTCAGTCGGAGACGGCGGCGCGCTCCAATTATCAATCAGTCGCTTCTCAATTACGATCGCCTGTCGTTAGCCGGGCCATCCCTTTTTTTGAAACGAATCGGACGGATTTTCGTTTTCACCGCGCGCGGCTCAAATTGGCCGAGTATCAAATTCGTCTCGCGCGACCAACGACAACGCATCGCGCATACTCACAGTAGTTACTTACTTACTTACTAACTTACTTGCAGATGTGCAACTAAGTGCGACACGAAACGGGGGGATATATTAATAGGCAGCCAGCGTGGCTTCCGCGATACCGAAATACGCTGATTTATAATCTCCCAGACTAAAATCTCGGAGAGTTTAACTGGGTTAACGTCTGTCGATGGCCAAACACCTAAAACCGTCGTGGCTCCATTATAATAATGGACGTGGACGTGAATTTGTCAGACATCGTTACACTGAAACTTGGTAACTTTATTCGAATCGCTCGAAATCGAAACGAGGACGAGTTGGTTTGAATATATATATATATATATATAGGAACTAACCTAGGACAAAATTATTTTTTCTCTACTTTTTTCAGTTTGTACGTTTAACAAAAATACGAGTAAATATATAAGAAAAATTAACATTTTAATCAGTATGGTTTAATCAGTATGGAATAAAAAAGAAAATATATAGTAATCAATTATAATCAATATTTCGTTAAAAATGTATATAATATAAAAATACGAGTAAATACATAAAAAAAAATTAATATTGCAATTAATTAGTATGGAATAAAAAATACATAATAAATATGTATAGAAAAATATATGAATATTTATGATTTTAATCCTTAAGTAATCGCGCAAAATATCTGCGTGGCAAAAAACTTGTCTGCGGGTAATTAACTTGGAAAGCGCTTCGAATTTGACGAGCGTACGGATAAACTGAACCTTGAGAATTGGAAACGGTATTCTAAAGAAATATATTTATATTTCAGGATGTCCTTCTATTCTAGACTATTTCTATCTATAAATTTTATCTGTAAATTACCCGATAGATATGCACCATATATAGGCCAAAACATAACTTAACAAAATAATGATAAAAAAACGATGAAACTGAAAATTATAAAATGAAAAAAGTATGGTAAGGAGACATACGTATTGGTCGCTTGAACATCGAATGGAATAAAAAAATTACCAACTAAAGTTAGAAATATTATTATTGCTTGTTTCTCTCCAAAATAAATTAAATATAATGATACAATATATTTAATATAGAAGAGTAAAATTAATCTATAAATATCAATGGCTAGACTAAAGAATATTTTACGTGGTGAGCGCACCCGTATATGTCATGCGGCCGTAAACGTTGAAATTAATATAGTTTTGCAAAGTTTTACGAAACGAATATGACGGTAAAAAAAAGTAGAAAGTTCCTACATTCGATTCTTATCGCGGAATGGAACGATGTGGAACGTATAAAAAGTACATCGCGTGAATTTCTAATACGATATTAATGTTAATTACTTAACTTTAAAACATTAATTTGCAATAAAGAGAAAAAAGAAAAAACAAAAAACTCATCGATAATTTATAATGATTTAAAATAGATGTTTTATTCACAGAATATTTCTCAACTATTGAAACGTGACCGATTCAGTTATCCGATTACTTGTCTGTGTACACGTATTTCCTTTAATCCGTGAGCGTTTAAAAAAGAGGATTTAAAATTTCAATTTTTTTAAATTTACAAAAGAATTTAATGTATGCAATGGTTGTTATACATTCCATCAAAGCAAAAATTATTTTTCATTTTTATTTGAATTTTGTCCAGTCAATATATATATATATATATATATATATATATATATATATATTCCGGTTCTGACGGAAATGCACGAACATTTCCGAAACGATTCGAATTCACCACCGCCTCGTTTGCATCGGATTGCCATTTTTTCCCGCGGAAACCGGAGGTTGATAATGCGTGGAAGCGTGGATAACGCCCCATTTTTTACATTTTTCTCACGTACGACGAATTATCAACTCGTCAACTGGTTGACGCGGAAATGCAGACTTAGCGATTTCTCTCTCTCTCTCTCTCTCTCTCTCTCTCTCTCTCTCTCTCNTCTCTCTCTCTCTCTCTTCCCGATCTCGAAAGGAAATGTTACGTGTCACTCGCTTGCGTCAATTTTCGCGAGAAAGTGATCAGAGGAGAAATCACAAGAAAGATGAGTTTAGTCCAACGAGTGGAAAGTGTCGTACCGATTTATTAGAGTAATTCGATCGAGATATATGCCAAAAAGACGAGTTTTTTGGGGGGGGGAAATTTTTCGAATTTTCCAGAGTTCGGTTCTCACGAACGAACAGATAATAGTTCAGGTATCCGAGATTCCTCAAACCCTTTCGTCCCCCCTATCGAAACTCTATTTATACCTTTAGTTACCATTAGTTATCGCGAAAGCTTTAAGAGAGGTGCCTTTCGGACGGCAAAGTGCCGATATTTCGTGCCTCCGTAAATTGATCGTAAAAGAAACATTTCGACGAATTTTTTCTTTTTTCCTGAATAAAATTTGCCTTCTTCTTCTTCTTCTCTTTTTTTTTTTCTTTTACGAGCGCGTAATTCCACGATCCTCGAAATTCGGAAAAATAATTATGTTTATTTTCCTCTCTCTCTCTCTCTCTCTCTCTCTCTCTCTCTCTCTCTCTCTCTCTCTCTCTCTCTCTCTCTCTCTCTCTCTCTCTCGAGGAGAAAAATTAAATAACACGGACAAGCGTCGAAAAGCGTTTG